CCTTTGAATGGATCAATGTACTTCACGCCTAGAAATATTGCATGTTTGAAGTAATTTAAAGGATTGTCAGGATAATCAGAACACATTCCATGAAGTTGCCATGCATGTTTCCAGAAATTCTCATTCATTGTCTCATCCTGATAGTCTTCATAGTTTGGCCAATATTTCCGTAAATCCTCCATGATGGATCTCATTTGCGGCTACAAGTTTGAATAAACCAATGGGTAAGCAACAAAAACCAATGGAAAAAAATATTAAGGAATACATCAAAATCCAAAAACAATTTAACTTACCAAAATTTGATCTGGTTTCAAAGGATCCTTGGTGCATCTATTTGTATCCGGATCATAGGGAGGCACCACTTCGCCATCAGCGAATTGTGGCCATAAACCTTGGATGGTAAAAGTGTTGAGAACCTTTGGTTTACATTCAGAGCTTGGTGCATCACAGTGGGCAGGTGGCCAACGCAGACTGAGTTTGTACGTGACAAAGTTAGTCTCACCTGCCACTAGCCAGCTCACTGTGGCTAAGACAGCAGCAACCAGGAAAAGCCTATGCATTGTTAGAGCCAAAGAGAGAATATGCTATTAAGCTTGCCAAGTACTCTCCAATTTTTGCATTGATTCAATGAACATAATCAAGGGTTTTTATAAAAACTTTGAAGCATTCTCAAGCCTAATTTTAGTAAAAAGTGCCAATACGTCACCAATAGGAAAGTATTGCCGCATTAGGAGTTATTGCTAAATCCACATTGCTGATACCTTTGGGTTGTGGTTTCCACTTTCCAGGTCGTAGCCTCATTGTGCTCCACTATCACGTCAATTTTATACTCCCTTTCATCTCATTTTTTTTCTCTTTATTTAATTTTCAAAAAATTTAATTTTATTTATCTATATTTAGTTTTCACCAAAGGATACATATAATCATTAGGGGTCGAAAACAATTACAATTTACATACTATTAGAAAAATAAATTCTTTCGTAGATTCTCCTGTCAAATTTGGTGCTGATAGATAAAAAATATTTTATACTTGATGGTAATTTCAGAATGAAAATTATTTATTTGGCTTCGATTTTTGTATATTTTGGATAAGTTTATGACAATGTAAAATTTTCTCTTTAATTGTATGTGTATCTCAATTTTATTGAGATAACAATAAGGGTATAAGTGCTTTGGTATTAATAAAATTATTTTTTTAAAAAAAGTATATGAGATTTCATTAATGAATAGATTTACAAAAATTACTCGATAAAATGGTAATGGTACAAGACTGTATAAGAAGAGATATAATTCCTCTTTCTTCGCTTGACTGACATATACAATAAAGAACAAATCAATTTGATTGCAATGAGATCATACTACAACTAAGACAATCCCA